ACCACCCCTCTTCTCCCTTCCCTTCCCTTCCCTTGCAGCTATCTCACGCGGGAAGCAGTTTGCACCCCAGACAGCCCAGAGCGCTCATTATCGCTTTCTCAGCCGGCCTGTCGCTCTGAAATCCACCCCTCCTCCCCCCTTACTAGTTGCCCACCTCCACCTCCATCCTCTCCCCCTGCTGTCCCCCTACGGAAGAGCAGTATGAAGAAGACGTCAGGATATTGAAGATGTTCTGTATCCAGGCTCTGAGCCAAAAGAGACGGTGCATACGGCAGACATATGGCCACGTTTTCAAAATCTTATCTTTATTTAACCGGGCCCATCAATCACAAGCAAATTTCCTTTTCTGTGCTAATGGCCGGGCAAAAGGCATGTTCGGGGACAGATGTCGGACGAAAATTTATATTTTCTATAAACATAAAGGTTACCCTAATACACCACTGAAGCAATTTGAACAAGAAGAAATTGCACCATATTTGTGCGAATGTTATGTTCAAACACATCAAGGCATACGGATGTCATATTACACCAAATGAGGCAAAATGAAGCAAAGCAAAGCGCCGACACTCAAGGTCCCTTGGTTGCAGGAGACTAATGGATAGAGAGGCGAGCTGGTCGGGAGGGGGGCGTTCCTGCAAACATCAGGTGCTATTTTCAATGCAAATCAACTTGTTTCTGGTAGCTCAGTTATATTATGTTAGAGAAGAATGATATCTCTTTTCAAAAGAAGTGAAACAGCTTTGGAAACAGGTGATCCCAGAATTTCTCATTTTGATAAGGAAACCAAGCGCTATTAGTTTGTTTGTATCGAGTGGCGCAAAAAATGCTGAAAAACTCCCCACATGCTCAGCAGAAGTTCCTGGGACAAGCTTTGCAAAATAGGAAGGTTAGAGTAAAGTGAACATTACAATAAAATGCCGTTATGAAGTTTTAACCCTGCCAATGTCAGCTAACCATATTAGCATGCCCACATGGGGGAAGGCTGTGAGTTGGAATAGAAATGGGCTGGTTCAGTGAGCAGGGGGAGTAGAGGTCCCATTCGTCTTGTCCTGTTTAAATACACTGGTTAACTCCTGCCAACAGGGAAGCCATTCAGCAAAAGGCCAAGGGCATCTGTCATGTGTTCAGCACACTGATATTGTCCCCTTCCATCTCCCTCTTTTCCCCTCTTTCCCCCCCATCATTTCCCCCTCTCTTTGTTTATCTCTGCTTCTCACCGTCACTCTGCTGCTTTTTCTCCTTTCCCCTCTGTCTTCCTCTGCCTCTCTCCCACTACTTCTCCTCCTCTTTTGATGAAAGGAGTGAATATGCAGGGAACTGACATGATTAGCAGCCTCATATCCCCATGATGGATGGCGCCTGCTCCATTATTAATATAGTAAAAGCACCAACTGCCAGGTAAGAGCAATGTCAGCATCCACAATATAACGCTGTGTGCCCACGGATAATGGTGAGCACTTATTTTTATCTATGATATGCATGGGCTTTGGGCCGAGGAGGAGGAGGAGGAGGAGGAGGAGGAGGTGGGGGAGTGCACTGCTGAGAACGGGCAATAAGACGAGGCTTTCAGTTTTGCTAATTCCCGATGATGGCAGCTGGGTGGTACACTGCAAAACAAACTATTTCAGCAACTCAAAGAGTGAAACAAGTGAGCGATAGCGGCATTTTTTACCACTGCAGTTTCCACATTTCAGGGATTTGTTTGAAACAAGCGTGATCTTTAAGATGATAAAATAAAAGGGAATATTAATTTAAATGGGAAGATTATGGCACAAAATGGGAAAAAAGATACCTATAATATTGCTGCGTAGGAACATATAAAGTGTCGTAAACTCAGGAATAAAGTTCATAGTGACCTTAATAATATTTAGTGCCGTGTAGTCATACTTTATAGTGGATATTTTTTCCCCTTCATAGCATTCCTTCAATTAGATGGTGTATAATTTATAGTTTTGCTGCTACAAACACATATATTGTGAGTTATAGGCTGTGCGGTTATATTTGTCTTCATTCATGAATCAGATAATAAAGCTTTATATGTTAAGAAATATAAGCATTTTGTTTTTTCACTTTAAAAACAAAACAAAAAGGATGCTCATGTCTGACCATGCTAATGTAGTAATGAAGTGATGAAGTTATCATCACTTCAGTAAATAATTTCCTTCCAACAATAATGGGGTGAAACAACAGACTCTGCATAATCCTATATCCATAGTGTTAACAACCCATGGAGGAGCTTACATCCTACACATAAAGACAAATGACACATGCGAGTTTTAGAGATTCTAAAAATTCTTAAGTTTTCACTGTTTTAGTCCAAACACATGATTTAATTAAAGGCATTTCATATTTCTTTGCCAAAATGATATTCCTGGCATTGTGGGGGAGGTTTTGAAAGAGCATTTAGACAATCGTGTAGGGAGATAACATTTAGCTTTTGCTGTTTAACTCTTTGTTTTCGTTCCATATTGAGCATCAGTCCAATCCCAGAGCTGCAGGATATCCTTGTGCATGCAGCCAACTTTGGGTTCAGTGTTAAAATTCCTGGTATTTTGGTTTTGGTATTTATGGTTCTTTGAAAGCTCAGC